GGGTTATATATAATTAACATCTCCCCAACGCAAAAAAAAAAATACATCTTGAAAATAAGTTTTGAAAGACAATTTATGCTTTGTCCAGTTTATTTCTGGTTTATTGTTGTATTGATTGCAAATAGGATGCAGCAGTGCTTGTTGGTTGGGATTACCTGGTCATTGTATCACTCGAAGATGGTCATGTGATCGCTGATCATTCCCTACCTTGCCAGCCAACAGCATCAACAGTGATTGGGGACTTCAATTCAGATGGTTACAATGACATCATTATACAGTGCTCCACAGGGTTAGTTAAAAACCATATTTGCATTTTCACAATATAGATGCTCTCTGTAGCAAGATTCACATTCCCTCTCATACATGTTCATTGTGCACAAACAGTGTGTCTGTATAGTCCGTATATTAATGTTACCCCCACTGGATGTGTTGATTTTACTTAGTATCATCATTGACACCATTTTTCCTCTTCCCTGCAACTGATTTTTGAGCACTGCTCTTGTAGAAGCTGACCCCATGGACACACTGCAACTGAATTACCACAACTTTATCACTGCTGTCTGCTTTTTAAGTAAACATCAACCCTGCCCTGATATCATCCAATACCAAGTGGTCTGTTGGTACCCCCCAGAAGCTCTTGGGAGTCTTCAGTACACCCTTCACACCTATACCCTGCACGGGTCAGCCTTCATCACTGCCTCAGGTCTTACATAGTGATGTAATGGTAGCTGGTTTGGTGCATACATCCAAAGCTTGAGGTCTCACACAGTAAATAAATAAAGTAATGGAGCGTTGACTTTTTCATTTGTAAGAGCTTCTGTGATATTTTTATGAAGTATGTTTCGATGAGATTTGAAGCTTTTCATGGTGGAGGTTGCAAGTAAACTAGATAGGTTTGTGGTAGCACCATGGATGCATCTCTTTTTGAGTATGTGGGGATTCCGAAAAGAACGAAGAGGCTCCGGTGAGCCACCTCAAGTCAGACGGATGGATGTTAGCAACTGTAGTGTTCATTCTATCATTCTCCATTGAACTCATCTCTGTGCATCCATTCCAGCATTGCACAGATCATATTGTCATACTTTTGATGGGAGCTTGAGTAGCAATAAAACATACGTGTACTTTGCTGTCCATATCATAGGTTACATAGGGCTGTAACTCTCTGTCTCCAACCCACCCAGTCTCCCGCGATGGTCATGTCTTCATTCCACCTTTTCCACCCTCATGTGTGTTTGTGCACTTTTTTGACTGTTGTTCTCATCGCCAATGACCTTATTGGCTGCTGGGGTTCCCTTAGGCTTTGACTCAGTGTCGTCATGTAGTGTCTGGCTGGCTGTCTGTTGCCACAGCTTCACTATTCATAATTAGACTTCTTGGTGCAATAGCGCCCGTGCCTCGAGAAGTTGCGGCTTCTGTAACCAGTTGTTTCCTGGGGGCAGGTGATTGGCACCCAACTCCCGCCCAGTCCCCCAACCAGGAAGGCCAGTGGTTTTCTGTCAGTGTTTTCTTTCCCCTCAGACTATCGAATGCAGTGGCACCCATGCTCATGAGCTCTATCTGCCAGAGTTCTCCGTCTCCTTGCCTGCTCAGAATGAATGCTTAACCTCCTCAGATATGCGTAACTACCATAGGATCCATCTTGGGACTATTTAACCCCTAGGTAGGGTTGTAGTTGACATGGCACCAGGGTGTGTCCACACACTAGTAGGCTTGCACACCATGTCTCAGGGTCCCACTGCTTTGAGATTCCCTTCAGTTCAGCCTGAGGTTGCAAGATACCCAGTTACCATGTATCACTATGAGGAGGCACTATAGGAGTCTTGGTGGTGGACAGGCTACGTACAGCCAACTCTTGTTATAACAACATTGGATACAACGAAATTACGGTTACTACGAACACAATCTTATGGTCCTGGCCAGATGTGCATATTCCTGTAGGGAGAATAACTGAAATTGCATTGAATGAAATTCCTGTTACATTGAAAGGTTTTTTGAGAGTCTGTTACGTAAAAATCATTCTTTGCGACCCGTTTGTAACAAACATTTACAAAACCTATAACACAGCCTAAATAAAAATAGAACTAATCTTCAACGTATGGATCTTTCATGTTGTTTGTTTTATCTTGCTGAGTCCAAATCTTAAGGCGCATGTGGCCAGCCTTTTGGACCTCGCACGCACTGTCGCTATTCGGCTGGTGTGGATAAGCTACGTCAGTGTCACACGGTATGCTGCACACCCTGTTGGATGAATTCCAGTCATCAACACGGTGCATGCGTCCGCATCAGTTGAAATGAGTGGGCCTATACGATAATGCATGTGCGCGCGCGATCAGGCTTATAACAGCACTTTCATGTCTGTTCACATGTCGATGAAAGTCTAAAACTCCATTCATAGTTGAGTCATTAATAATTATAAGTTTAAAAGAGTTATGTCTTAAAACAAGGGAGGATTAACGTGTGGATATCGTACTTTTTGTTGACGAAAATCATCATGCTCGGAAACGGCCCCCATATTGGATCCAACCATTATTGTCTAGGGGTGATTTTGAATTTCCAAAGTTTTCCTGTTAAAAAACTTTCCTTACATAAAATTCAACTTCACACTGTTCCAATGTATTTTCTACTTTACGCCTAACATTCAGGTTTCTATAATTTCAGTTCACTGTGCTTTTGGTGAAAGAATGTCAGTATATTTTTAGCTGCTTTTAAGTTTATCCGTTCATTAATGGAGACTCCCACAACATCTGCAAATACTACACATAAGAAACTTGGCGCCTTTTAAAGGATGTAATGTGCGAAGTGAAATTGACTCTATAACGATTCTCGGCCGATCATCATAAGAAGAGAACAAAATTTTTGTTTTCTTGAAAACTACAGCATTCTGAGTGGAAAGATTTTACAGCCTGATTGAGACTGTTGTGCATTTTTTTCAAGTGACATATTTCAGGATTATACGGTATTCCGATTTTGGGACTTTACCAATGGTGTACACCACCTTTAATGTAAATACTTGTAATGGTCGAATTACCTCGACATGACATGAACAGCTAACCGCTGATACTTTCTTGTTGAGATCTGGAGTATTGATGACAACATCGTGTTGGCGGGACAAGACTTCTGCAGTATATGTTGAACAGAATCTCTGTCATCATCTCCCTCAGAAGAGCGAGTTATGTCAAGTGCAACTGACTGATTCACTTATCCTTGATTAATGAAGTGACCAGTCGCAGTGCTGTGTGGATAAAATGAAAAGGGGGAGCCACTGGCTCCTGGCGCCACGTCAATTTTTGTACATACTGTACACAGATTTTCAAAAAAACACAAGTTACATGTATAAAATCTGACGAAACACACAATTATTATTCCGTCAGTTATCCGCAGGGCAGACAGGCTTTGGATTTGTGCTTGTGGAATAAATAAAAAATGGTAACCAATTATATGGAAAAAACAGCTGAAAGAAAAGACCTGGTACCGGACTGGACCAAGGGAAGCTTGAAAGCTTTTGGTCTCAAACTTACAGTAGATTTGGGACTGAAACAAGTTTATTACACTGGAGTTGTGGTGTGCATAGACTGCTAGTGCATCTAATGAATATGTGAAATGTCTCACCTCCCAGCCCCACAGACTCTCTATACAGCATTTGACCACAAACCAATCGACTTGGGGACCTAGTATCTGTATGTGCGTGTATGTACCTACATGTACGCTACGTTGCAGTTAACGTGGGCTCATGTTGTGTACATAGTGAGACAGAGGGGAAACCGATCATAGTGATCATAGAGACACATCACTCGGTGCACATTCATGACATTGAAGAAAACTGGGCTGTGATCGTTCGTGAAATGTGACTAACAAGATGGGCGACTAACAGGTACAAATGATGATTGCCATTGGCGATAAGAATTAAACATTTGGTCGCATATCATCAGCATTTGTAGGTGAAAATGTGACTGTTTTGGTTGCACCGTACAGCGTGGACCCGTAATAGCAAGGAAGCCTTCCTGGCTCCTCAAAGTCCAACAGTTTATTGTCAAGGAAACATGATTGGCTGATGAGAGGTGATTGCTGTTCTCATTGCTGTCTTGTATGTTGGCTCCAAGAAGTTGAGATACTGATATTTAACAAAGCCTTGTCCCTCATCAAATCAAAACCGAAGACAGTCATCATTGATTATTTGTGCCAGAAGTTCAGAAATTCTTTCAGTACATAGCAGACAGTCCTCACAGTGCAGGAAATCTGTAGGGTAGACTGAGAAGACCCAGAGCCATAAGGCACTGCTTAAGTTGAAGCTGGGTGTTTAACATGGTGTATGCAGAATGAGGTAACAGCTACCTGCAGCTTTTGAATGTAATTATAAACAATACCAAAAATTAGTAGACTGTTTTATTACCTTGTCCTGCATTTGTTACTTCCGATTTCACCCTCAAAAGATTACAGGGCATCAAGAAATTTATGGGTACCCTTGTCAGGGATTGAACACCCTTCTGTTGGAGAAAGCAGGGCTTAACAATTAGACAAAAGCAGCAAGTCCATCACAAGACTGGACTTTTTGGCTAAATAACTTGTACAATACATATCCATGTGGCAAGTTGCTTTATGCCTTCAATTCTTGAAGGTTCAACTGAGTACCTTACAAATGCCTTTCAACCAAGCCGGCCCAGCTTTGTGTTCATCCCACATTTTCCTTTTGGAAAGTTTTGTGTGTGGAATATCTAAGCTTTGTGGCATGAGAAGTTAAGTAATTGACTTATCAATTGGTTAACCGAATGAGTGTTTTTCCTCCATTTTTGAGTTTGAAAAATAAAATTCTATACCAGATAGTTTGAGTATTCCATGCTTTATGTTATAAATTAGTTGCTAGGCAAGATGTGTGATTTGCTTAAGAATAACTCAGGACCTTGGCAAGAGGTTACACCTTGGCAAGAGGTTACACCTTGGCAAGAGGTTACACCTTGGCAAGAGGTTACA